AGGACCTCGATACAGCCATGCTGCTCTGAGGCCCAATGTATTGTGTGTGCACCATTGCACTGCCACGAGGTGCTTGTACGTCTCCAACTCGAGTCTGCCGCGCAGCTCCAAGCGAACCTCGTGGGTGTTGCGCATCTCGACAATTGTGCGTGCGAGGACCATCGCCGTCGCCTCTGTGACTGTGAGACGCACGCAGCACATACTTTTCTGGCGACTTAGCCAGGGCGGGAGTATATCGAGAATGCTTTGGAGCTGGTCGTCGGGCAGCGCCAAATGGTTCAGGTCGAGTCGGAGAAGCGAAGGCGAAGAGGCGAGCCACGACGTGAGATCGGCCACTGCGTTCGAGCTCAACGTCACGCCCTCTAGCTTGAGGTGCTGGAGCTGTGGCAGCAGAGGAAAGCGCGTCATCGTGGCATAGCTGACCGTGAGGTACAGCAGTGTTGGCGGCAACGCCGTCATGATCGGTGTCACGTAGCAGTCATCGTAGCCAAGCGTCATGCGCGAGACCGCCGACGACGCCAGCTTGTCGCTGGCATACGTCTCGTCGACCCACGTGTCCTGCGGCGATAGCGTCAAGGTGTGGAGCTGGCGAGGCACTGGTGGCGACGACGGATCGAGAAGCGCGTCCAGGACGCTCGATGCGAACGCGAGCTTGGTCGTTCCGAGTGTTGATGTCGTACGCAGCGCGTGTTGCCAAGGCTTTGGCAGCCTCGCGTGAAAAGTCTACGTGACGGAGCACAAAACGCCGAGCTTTGGTTCGCTTGAGACAACTCCGGCCCAATGTCGCCTTCGAGATGGAAGTGGTCAAAATGGGGGCACGAGGCGGTGATGGCCGCCATGACAACGTCCAGCTGCTCGGCATTGATCTCGCTGAACCACTCGATGGCGAGCGCCTCGAGCTTCGGGCACGCCATTAGCGCCGCCGCCAAGTCGCGTTGATCGCTCGGGTCCTCCTCGATATCGATGTTAAGCGTGACAATGTTGCGTGCCCACAGGCCAAAGGTCTCGCGAAGATTGCGCACGTCACTGATATAGGCTTCAACGGGCGTCGTCGGCGGCAGCGCCATGACATGGAAAACGTTGGCCGTAACGTTATGATCGTCCTCGCGGGCACGTAGCTTGCGAAGCGCTGGCAGTGCTCTTAGTACCGTCGCTGCGTCGGCGGACTGCAAGGCGTCCGCAAACGTGAGTGGCCAGAGGTGCTCCGGCACCGCGTTGGCGTCGGCCAACAGCGCCACGAGTGCGTTGAGAGCCTCGTCGCGGGCGTTGATCGGCACCGCATGCAGAAAGGCCATGACGTCTTTGGCTGCATACAAGCAGTGGACGACCTGCAGCACGATGGGTGGCAGCAGCCATGGCGCCGATTCTGCCGGTGCACGCATCACACCCAGGCTTGGTCGTGCCACCTGAAACTGAAGTACAAATGCTGCAAATACTAGTATGTGGAAAATGATGCCATGTGGGAAATGCTGCGATTATATGCGGGAAATCGATGGCAAGATATAGTGCAACGTGGACTATCGAATCGTTGTTTGCAAGTGTTGTGTACTAACTACTTGACCCATCGAGATGGTGAGCTCGGAAGTCTTGCCTTGCGGCGGCCTTTGCTGCAGCGGAAGGCGATGCGTCGTTTGGATTCGCTTAATTTCTACTACATTTGGGCCAATCAATAGTAAACATCGATTTTGACAAACTCGAATGATGGCCATGCCCCAGCAGCCCCGATATCCTCAAGGTTTCTATTGGGTTTAGTTCTACGTTTGCTGTACGCTTGGTGAATCCCATTGTGGTGAATCCTCAGTCCGTTGATTCGCGGGCATGTCAAATCACATCATTCATTTTTCACGTGAAGAATGTGAAAATAATATTCCACCGTGTCATCTTTGGACTTCAGCGGCTGACATGATGCTCGAGGCCAAGGAAGGAGCGCTGGACGAGGCGAAGCGCGCGCGGGCAGCAGGGCTCTCATGGCTGCTGCCGGCCACCGTCCTGCAGGTGGTCCACTGCCTTGATACGCCCGAACGTCCTGGTCTTTCTCCATGCCATGCCAAGCAACGCCCGAGGCGTCATGAGCACGCTCATGACGCTTTTAGAAGACAAGCCGTACCTTTGGCCGGTCACCAATGCCGACGTCTTGAACGTCTTTAACGCCTCGATGGTGGCCGCCTCGCTACCAGCGATCCGCCTGCTCTGGATCAAGGATGGTAGCGACATTGATGAGCTCTGCGGTAGTCTCTCGCTGCCGCTGGCGACGCCGGTCCGAGCGACTGTCTTCTATCCGCAGTTTCCGTCGACCGCATGGGTCGCCAACATTGTCGATTTGACGATCGTTGTCACGTCCACGCCGCTGGACGGCCGCGATCTGCAAAAGAAGCTGGCAGGTGCCCTCAGCTCCAGGCGCTCAACATTGAGTGGGACGACAACGTCGACCAAGCGCAGCTCGACACGCCATGACCGCGATTGCAGCGTCGTGCCCACGCCTCACTTCGCTTCGCCTACTCGGAGATGCCCACCGAGGCGCTGCGCGCCATCTCGCTACTTGGCTAGCCCGGCCGCAGGCCAAGGCGTTCAAGCTTCTACGCATCAACTTTGTCGCGCGTGTCGCCAAGACCTTGGCGCACGCACTGCTCTCGTCAAAGACGCTTCGCACGATCAAGCTCTTGGATGTGTCGAACGTTCTCAGCGCGTTTCTCGATCCGTACTACGCTCCGCTGCCATCGCAGCTGCGCAATCTCGCCTTGGACTTTACGGCCGACTGGGACGATGTACCGACGCTCGCCGACAAACTTGCGCCCTTGACCATCCGCAGCTTGGACCTTCGCTTTGACACGAGCCCCGACATATCGTGCGTCTTGGCGGTCCTGCCACCGACGCTACGGAAGCTCAAGGTGGACCACGTCCGTACCACGAGCTTCCCGAAGCTGCCCCGGCTCCAACAACTGGGATTGTGGTCGACGCCTTTGACAGACAAGGCGGTGGCAGATATCTCAGCGCTGCTTGCCGCGTCGACGACGCTGTCGCGGCTCAATCTCGCCGAGTCGGGTGTCCCCAAAGACCAACTCCGAACGATCTTGTACGCTCTGCCGCGCTGTTTGAGTCGCCAAGCAACAGCGTGCACCGCGCGCCTCCCCGTGGCGATGGACACGGAAGCGCTCGTGGCGACCGTGTTGTTTCAGACACGAAACACGCAGCCGGTACACTTTGAGCTAGTTGGCGATTTTGGCGAGTTGGACCAACCGTGCGGGCGCTCAATGTGGTGCAACGGAGCATAGTTCCAAAGCTCTTCGTCCGACGTCCACTCGCCCAAACAGTAAACCTTCATCCGAGATGTCGCACCGAGCGCAGTCACAACACTTTGGCACGAGCTTTTGACACGCTGCTCGATCAAACGAATTTTCACCGTGTCGCACGATCCGCACTAGCTGCGTATTGCGCGTCCGGGTCATGGCTACGGTGAGCAGCGTCGCGCTCGTGTCCGACACCGAAAGGTAAACGTCGCAGGTGTTTTTTGGGCGACTCAGCCAGCGCGGCAGATCGTCGATGATTGCGTTGACTTGGATCATGAGCAACTTGGCATTTGCGAGGTCGAGGTGGAGAAGCGTCGTTGAAGCGGCAAGCAATGCAGTGAGGTCTGTGAGAGCACCCCAAGTCAAGGTGGTTGCGCGTAGCACCAGTTGCTCGAGTTTTGGCAGCAGCGGGAAGCTTGCAATCTCTACATTGCTGAGCTTGAGCTTGTTGAGACTTGATGGCTAGACGCCCATGATGAGTGTCATGTCGGGGAATGCGTCAAAAGAAAGATCCAAGCTCGCGATGGCCGAGAACCAAAACTTGGCTGCGAGAGACGGCGCATCATTCCAATCGTCCTAAAGACTCATTTTCAACGTGCAAAGCTGGCGGGGCAACGCTCGAGACGATGCCAAGACGGCGTCACAGAGCTGCAACGTGTCCTCAAGCTCAATCGTATGAAGCGTCGTCGACGAGAGCAGAGCGTGCGTCAAGAGCTTGGCTGCGGGGACTGCAAAAATCGACGCGATTGAGCTTGAACGCGCGTGCATTTGGTTGCACAAGCCATTTGAGAAGGCCCTCGCAGCGCTGCAGCTCGGAGTCCATCATAGGATCGAGGTGGAGAACCGTGAGTCGAGGGCGCGACGTTGCGATGAGCGCCAAGAGGACGTTCAACTCAGCGTCGCCCGCGCTGTCCCAATTAATGGCGAGCGCCTTGAGCCTCGCGCAGGCGGCGAGATTTTCTTGCAAAGCGCTTGCGTTCAGAGGCCTGCCATCGGCGAAGATTGCGAGGCTGACGATGTTGCGGACCCAGCTGCCGAAATTCGCCTGGAGATCCGGGGCACAGACGTTGGCGTGGACAACGGTCGTCGGCGAAAGCGTCATGCGCCGGCAAAATTTGAGAATGGCACTGTTTTCGTTGACCCATACCTTGCGAAATGATGGCAACGCCCGTGCCACGGTCAAAATGTCCATCTCCAAGAGGTTAAACGTATCGGCGACCGGCCAGAGGTTGGCGTTCGCAGTCAAGAGCGTGACAAGCGCGTTAAGCGACGCATCGCGCACACCGGCGGGCACTGCGTCGAGAAAACTCAAGACATCGTCAGTCGTATCCAAGCAGTGGATCGCTTGCAGCACGACTGGCAGCAGCAGCCATGACGCTGTCTCTCATTTCGCGCGCTTTGTTGCGGCCATTCGAGGTAGCCACTGAAACCACCAGAGATGAATCAAGAAGACTGGCGGGTTGTGCTCATTTCAATGTGGTAGTGCGATGTGAAAAAGACGAAGTGAATCAGTGAGTACGCGCTGCATTGTGGAAGGACCCATTGTCGTGGCGATCTGGCGGAATCGAGTTTCCCACATTGCACTTTGCCGCAGATACTTTTTCGCATTGCACTTTCCCACATTGCACTTTCTACACTTGGTATATGTATGGTGCGCGATAGTACACACGCATTTCCGACATGTATTTCACATTGCGCGGTGCTCAGATTGGATGACGGACATCAAGCGCGCGCGGGCAGAGGCGGCGCCATGGCTTCCACCGATCGTGCTGCGGGTAGCCCACTACGTCAACGCGCAAGAAGACGTACTGGCCTTTCTTCATGCTATGCCCGCGCACGCACGCGGTGTGGCCCTCGACGCGCTCGTGACGCTCTTGGAAGTAAGCACGAATCTCTGGCCGGTCGCGTATGGGTTTGTCTTGGCGAAAATGGACGTCGCGACAGTGGCAAAGGCGCTTCCTGCGCTACGCAAAATCTCGATCTGCGAGGGCACCGAATCGACCGCCATCTGCGAGCGCACGCCACTGCCGCCGACAATCGACGTCGACGCTCATGTGCACGCCCCGCACCAGCTCTCTGTCACATTTGGCAGCTGGGTCCGCAACATCTCGGCCCTTTCGATCTCTGTCGCAGGCACACTAGACGGTCGTGCTCTGGAGCGAGAGCTTGGCGCGTGTACGAAGCTCACGTCGCTCGACGTTGTGTGGAGCGAGGAGAAGGTCGATCAAGACGAGTTTGACGGTCTCATGGCCGCCATTCTCGCCGCGTGCCCGCATCTTTCGCAGCTGCGCATCGCGTCCGAGCGTCGGAGTCGCTTGCGGCGCTGCAATGGCCTTGTCACATGGCTCACACAACCAACCGCGCGGGAATTGAAACTCATCAACACTGATTTTGCGCCACGCCCCGCTAAGATCTTGGCCCGTACGCTGCTCTCGTCGGCGATGCTGCATACGGTCAAGCTCACGCAAGTGCCAACGACGTCCGAAGCCTTCATGGACCCATCATCGCCGCCGCTACCGTTGCAACTGCGCAATCTGACCATCGAGCGTGGCGGCGGCGGGGCCAACCTCGTGTCACGCGCGTTTCCGCCGTATCTGCGTAAGCTCAAGCTGATCAACGTCTCGCTGGCGAGCTTTCCGCCGCTACTGACGCTCAAGGCCCTCCAGCTGTGCAGCGTGAAATTGACTGACGATGCTGTCGCAGACATTACGTCGTTGTTGGCAATCTCGACACTGCTCTCGAGCCTTAGCCTTGCCGACTTGCCCGACGACCAACTCAACTCGATCCTCTACGCTCTCCCGTGGTGGTTGAGTCGCCAGCGAAACGACTGCATCGTGCGCCTCTGTCTCACGAAGAAGAGCGCCGAGCTACTTGTCCTGGCGATGGCCTTGACACACAACACGCACACAGTGAATTTTCTCGTCGACGGCGACGATTCGCTCGATCTTTCGGCGTGTCAGCGCCTCGTGACGGCCCTCGGCGCCACGTCGCGTATGGAGCTCAACTTTACGACGCATTGGACCAAGAAGCAGACAACATTACTCGAGCAACACGCCGCGTTGCGCCGCGTGAAGATGAACGGCTACCGATTTCACTCGCCCAAGGCAACCCCGTGGATGGCCATAGCCTAGTTGCAACAGGCACTCCACGGTGGCGAGCGACCAAGTGGAGCGACGATACGCGGCCAGTAATGTATGTTGTCCCCAACTTTTTTCTCGAGGATCGATGACCAGAATAAGGCCATGTCTCGCAACGAGATACGTTTGCTCGACTGCATTATTTCTCACTCGTCCACAATCCTGCCGACAACCAAACGAACTAGGACTTGGCAAAAACATGCATAATGTTATGTAACGTGAGAGATGGCTGTACGCGGCGCCAGCCGCGGCGTGCGGCGTGGCGAGAGGAACCACTTGTGTGCGTACTCGATGCCGTGCAACGCAGCATGGGTCTTCACTTCTTCAACGTCGACATATGGCGCGTCCTTGTTGGAAATGATGTTTTTCAACAAGTGGCGTGCCCATGCCCGTACTGGAGTACATGTATGACGGCACGTGATATGAACCAAGGGGTTAGGTGTCAGAATGGACTGCATCGTGTTTATGGTTTAGACCAGAGCGTGGACATCAAGGCTAGCGTCGCGTTGTTCTTGGGCGTGCAGAGACTGCAAGTTGTAGTGCTTTGTACACAGCTGCTGTACTTTGGCCAGTCGTTTGCAGTTAGGGATGCAGCAGCTCGGTCGGTGCTCGTCGCACAAGCCGGCGCCGCGGCCTTTCTTGGAGCACCCTGGCGCTTTGCAGTACAGAAACCCGCCGTGGCGCGCGCAAAAGATGCCGCCGCGCTGCGTCTTTTTGAGGCAGCCGCCCGCAAACTTGCAGACGGCGCCGCCGCCGTGCGCGACGCAGCGTCCGCGGCACTGGCTCGCCTTGTCGCAGCCGTCGACCGTACAGCGCGCGCCGCCGCCGTGGCGCTTGCAGCGACTGTTGCAGGCCACGGCCATGCCGCAATTGAGTACGTCGCACTTGGGGCCGCCGCCGTGGCCGATGCATTTGGTGTCGAAGCGCACGGCCGCCTTGGTGCAGCCTGCGTGCTGGCACTGACCTTTGCGAAGCGCTGTTGCCGGTTGCTGGTGCGGCACGAAGGCGAGAGGTGCAGCGTCGGAAGTTGTTGTCATCGAGATGGAGTATGAAAGAATGAACTCTACACACTATGCAAAATCGACGCGTAAAAGCACCTCTAAAATGAGTTTGGTCGCTCGACACGCTTTTACAATTTAGTTTGGTGTTGTTTTTACACAAACTGTGTTCTAGTGTTCCTTAGACTCCCTAGCCGCAGATAGCATGATGAAAGGAATGTTGCTGATGAGGATGCGACGTCGCAGTGTTGCGAGCGACGACGGCCACATCATGTAGGGGTAGGTTAGGGTAGGGTTCGTGTCGGCGCAGCATGATCAATGTCCAGGTACCGTCGGCTATATGTACCGTTCTTCCGTGTTAGCGAGCGAAGACGACTGTCCAGCTGCGCTTGCGGAACAAACTTGGCAAATCACTTGACGCTGCGCGTCGTGAGGTTCACACACGTGACCAGTCCGTCTTGCAAACGAAGGACGTCCAGCCGCGTGCGCTCGATGTCGAAGGCGACGCGCGCCAGGTTGTAAATCCAGCTGCCCACGATGGACGTGAGACAGCGTGCGTCGTTGCTGATCGCGTGGACATGCGTCGTTGGCGGCGTGCGTCGGCAATATTCGCCGATATGTGTGCTGTTGAGGCCGATCACCAACTTTATAACGTTGTGGATGGCACATGTCATGCGTTCCAAGGCGTTCGCCAGAGTGCTTGGCTAGAGATTGGGGCGAGGCTGCGTGTGGCGCGTGCCTGGGACTTTGAAGATAGGACGGTCGCCGCGGTAGCGCAGTAGCAAGCGCAGCAGTGCATTGAGTTGCACGTCGCGCGCGCCGCTGGGCCCCGCGTGAACATAGGCTAAAACAATCTCGGACGTGTCCGGGTAGTAAACCATGCACAGCGCAATCGGCGGCAGCAGCCATGGCGCCGCCCGTACCCGCTTCCCGTCAGTGAACAGCAATGTGGGAAAGCAAAAGCTCACGTGAGGCAAAATGTGAAAAAAATATGTAGGAAACGACCATGATGTGGCTTACTTCATGTACCCTGCAGTATCTACAGTGGCAAGCGGTACCAGCCATCCGAATGACGCACGTTGCACCGCGTGGCATGTGCCTGCAAGTCGATTTCGACAGTTGGATCCCAGAACAGGGACTCGAAGCGCAGTGCCACCGACGAAGTGGCCCAAAGCGCTGTGACGAGGCGCTTGCACGCCGCTTTATTGAGCGCTTCGTTGTCGTACAGCTCGATCTTGACCTTGTGGAGAATGCGCATGCGGGTCATGGCGGTGATGAGACGCTCGACGTCGAGCGCACTCGTCACGCCCAGCCGCACGGCGCACGCGTGGTTTTGGCGATTCAGCCAGAGCGGCAGCGTTTTGATGAGCTTGGCGACTTGGTTGGGGCGCAATTCGGCGTGGGCAACATCGAGTCGGGCGAGTGTTTTCGACGACCCAAGGATGCCGCAGAGCATCGTAAACGCAGCGTCAGACATCTTGACCCGAAAGAAGCTGATGTACTCGGGCAATCTCGGGGGTACGATGTCAATCAACGTGGCACACCGGACATCCATCGTGGTCAGCGAGACCGGAAATGTTGCGTCCATGGCAACATGGTTGGCGTTGATCACCAAGTGGCGCAGGTGCCCCTCGAGGGGCAATGTCGATGGGTCGAGAAGCGCCTGCGAGAGGTTCTTCGTATGCTCAAGCGCGACAGAACGTAGCGTCGGTGACGAGAGGAGCGCACGCGCCAAGGTTGTGGCCGCGGCTGCGGAAAAGTCGACGCCAGTGAGACGGAGCGTCCGAGCCCGTGGTCGCTTCACCCAAGTGAGGAGGCTCTCGCAGCTTTCGAGAACGAACGGCACGGCCTGGAAGCGCAGTTTGGAGAGGCGCGGGCACGCGGCGACGACCGCGGCTAGGAGCGTATCCATTGTCGCTTTGTCGACAGCGTCGGCAAACTTGATGCTGAGCACCAAGAGCTTCGGACACGACGCCAGCACTGGTTGCAGCCGCGGCACATCCAGCGGCGCCGTATCGCAGTGGACGCCCGTGTGCAATTTCACAATGTTGGGGACCCACGGGCCAAAGTCCGCGCCGAGTTGGTAGACGTCCGTGGCATACGCATGGACGTCGGCCGTCGGCGGCAGCGGTGTGCCGTGGCAAAAGTCGGCTCCGACACTTTGATGCGCGTAGATTTTGCAGAGCGCGGGGAGCGCTTGGAGCACAGTCGGTCGATGCATCGCGCTCAAGTCATCGACATCAGCGCGCGGCCACAGCCCCGGCTTGGCTTCCAAGAGCGTCAGGAGGGCGCGAAGATGCTCATCGTGGGCGTACGACGCCAGTGCACGAAGAAAGGCGACGACATCTGCCTGCACATACACGTAGCGAGCCACGTGCAGCACGATCGACGACAGCGTCCAGTGCGTCGCCGCTCGTTGTACGCGCTTTGCCATCCAAAATGAAAGTGTCGAGTACGACACACGTGGCAAAGCCATGTGAAAAATGACACGTGGGAAACGCCCAAGCTCGTCAACGCGTGCCACCCGATTGGCTTGATTGCAAATTATTCTGACCAATCCTGTCGCGCGTAGAAATCCCCGCAAAGTGCGGGTCAAGAACCTCGTTTAAGTGCGCATATGTCGTACTTGCGTTCTGTATTAGCGCTTAAATGCGTTTCGATTAAGTGCGAGATCCAAAGCGCGCCAACACTGCAGCACGCATGAGCCCGAAAACGTCAGCAGCTCGAGTGTTGACTTTGTGTTGGCCAACGCCAGAGGTACAAGTATATACCTGGCTAACGCTTGGGCGTATTGCATAAGTACCATTAACCATTAATAGGAAAAAATTGTTAGCTGTTTTTCGATACTAGTACGCGCCTGCACCATAGCATCTGCTACGATCAGAGTACGGAGCTGTCCACAACAGCCTACATGTCCGTCAGCGCAAGCCACGGGTCCGCCGCTGGGTCGTCCGACCACACAGTCGTCTTGGTCGTTGCGAGGGCGTCCTCCACGGCGTAGTACTTGGTCCAGAGCTCGGTGGCGACCGCGACCGCATCACCCACGCCATGTGTCGGGTAAACTTTTGTGTCGTACAGCCACTTGCGCTCAAAGCCACGCAGGACGTCGTCGGTCGCAGCTTCGTCGACCGGTCGTTTGGCTGCAAACGCGTCGACGACAGCTTGCAGCCAGAGCTGCCATCGCCCCACGTAGTAGTCGCGAACGACGCCGGCCCACTCTTTGCGGGCATAGTCGTTGAGAATGTCGTTGAGGCTCCACTTGGTGATTTGCACACGCGCTTCAAACTCAAAGTACGGCGCGTCGCCCGATGCCTGGAGGCGCTTGGCATCTGCGATCCAGCGACCGAGCAGAAAGTCCGGGTGCGTCGCCAGCACCCGGTCGCAGTCCCGCATCAATGTCACTATCGCATCAGCCTGGGCTTGCAGCATCGACACCGTCGTCGTCGTCGATGCTTGGTACAACTCGAGAAACTTCTTGTAGTACACGTTCATCCGGTCGCTCAAGCCTTGCCGCGCCACATCGACAAGGTCGTGGGTAAACGCATCGGTGGTCGTGAGCACGGGCTTGGCGATCGCGGCGTCGAGCAGGTGGCGCCACGCCTCGCGCACCGACGGCGCCGGCTCGCCCAGCGCGTTTGCACTGTGCAGCGGGCGGGATGAAAGCATGTGCAGGTGTGGCCGGAACGTCATGAGGCTGTTGCGCTTGTCGTGGCCGCTGTAGACTGCGGTCGTCAACGCCGCCCAGGCATCTTGGGCGTGCGGCGAGGATATGTGGTACCGGCTACGCACGTACCGCGTCACGTAGCTTGACACGTTCCGGGGCGTCGCCTGCCAGTTCATGTCGAGGCCGAGGTCGTACACGACGTAGTTTTGGAAAATGCCTTCCATCGTGAGCCCGAGCCCGACCATGGTGCCGTGGCTCTGCGCTTTTGCTGCGATTGGCGCCGACGCGAGATGCCCGAGGTTGCCGTGCAGCCCGAGGTTGCCGCCAAACGTGTGCAAGACGCAGAAGACCCAGTCCTTGCCATAGTAGTTGTGGGTCGGCGCATAAAACGGGGCTTCCTCGCTAGGTTATCGCATCAGATAGCTTGCACCTGCTGCAACAAGAGACCTGTAGAGATCGAGCACGAGCATCCGGTCATTCGGGACACCATCGAGGTACGCCTGCACCTTGTCTTGCGTCCAATACTCGCGCATCGAGATGAAGAGCCACGCTTGCATGAGCCAGATAGCGTTCGGGTCAGCCGCCAACATCGACTCGATAACTGCGCTGGACGACGCGCGGAGATACGCATGGTCCGACGTGTGCGGCACGAGCTCGTTGTACGTATCTGCGGAATACAGCGACGAGGTGTAGCTGCCGTAGAGCGCTTGCTGCGTCGTCAGAAAGGCCTTGCCGACGGCGCGGTAGAGCAGGTCGGTCGGGTCGAGCATGTAGACGCACGTGTAGTTGCGGTCAAAGCCGGCCCACTGGTCCGATCGTCGCATGCTCGCCGACGGATACAACGTGCGCATCTCGTCCGGGACATGGCCAGCAAATGCTGGCAGCGCTGGCAGCATGCCAAACTCGCGGTACCGGCTGAGAAGCTTCAGCTGCAGCGCATGCTGGGCCTCGATAAAGTGCTGCGGCAGGCGCCCGAGCGGGCTCCAATCGCCGCGAATGTTGCCCATGCGCTCCCACGCGAGGTAGGCAGCGCCACCGAGGAACCGCTGCAGGCCGGTCGACGAGACGTTGAACTGCTTGAACGTCTCTTGCCACGTCTTTTCTTGGCCCGTGATCGCGAGCGGCATATTGATGCCGTTGAGGACCATCCAGTCGACGTGCGTCTCCCACTGGATCCAGTCCCACGCCCACATCGAGTACGAGTGCGTGCAAATGTTGAGGTAGTACGTGACCTTGGACGCCTTGGCCAGCGTCGAGCGCGATGGCACAGGCGGCAGCACGGGCGGCAGCCGCAGCGCGTGGTTGTCCCAGTTGACCTGCGTGTGGACGACGTCTTTCAAGTATGAATGGAGAGCGTAGCCCATCGCGGTGGCGCTCGAGCCCGAGATATGGATGCGCCCGGCTTGCATATCGATCGCTGCCACGTCTAAGCCATTGTCGCCCACGGGCACAACCTCGAACGCGAGCTAGCGACACACATGAGCAGCGGAAGGCGACGAGACGGCCGTGTACCTGCGAGACGTAGGGAAGGCCGAGGCGCCGCGCCACGAGGCTTTGCATGGCGCTTACGGCGTCGTGCGTCGGGAAGACAAGGTCGACCTGCGCCGCCACGGATGCGACCAGCGCCGTCGCCAGCCACCACACGCACTGCGATCTTGGCATGATTTGGAATACACCATCTAATGGCGTGCTTCAAGCACGTTTAAATAGGTTAAACGAAGGTTGAAGGTATAACGCGTTTAAACAGCTCGCCCCAAGTAAACCGCAGACGTTATTGTGCTAGAGGTGCATGGTATAAGCTGCAGAACCGAT